AGACCTTGGAAAATACACTTACTTTCAGTAAAGGAAGGAAACACAAATCTGTAGCTTATGTGTGGCTTCTTCGTCTGGAAGATTTTATAAGTAAGCTGCAGTGAGAGCCTGAGAAAACAGGATACCTCCACAGAACCTCTGAATGAAGATAGATTTTTAACTACAGCATATGTATTTTATTTAAACAACTCAGAATTTTTCCCATATATAGCAAAATCTATTGATAAACTCATATTGCATTAAAAATGTCAGTACTGTCTATCAACAGGGCAACATTTAGTGCATGAAACTTCAATTATATATAGCTGGTCTATTGGGCTGAAATTCTGAAGAGTCTGGGTTTATCTATTAGAAAGGGGCTTTTTCCAGAATGTCTTTTACTTAGGTATGTGCTTGCATACTGCTGTGGTTTATTTTATATCAAGAAGCACATTATAAGACACGTCAGAATGTAAAGGGAAGTCTCCAACAGTAGAATATTTTTCCAATAAACCCTTAACCTGAAACAAAATTAGTTTCAGTAATCCTTTATTGAGCATCTGCTATATATACCTTGCTAGAGTAATTTCTTTGGGTGGCTCTTAAGTGAATAAGGCAAATAAGATGCATATGATAAGTCAGAGTTGAAAGAAAATAAGACAATTAAATCAGTATTGGCTTCCTGAAAGAAATAACATTTGAGCTAGTATTTGAATAGCATTTGTGCTAGAACCTGATGAATAAGTAGGCTGTCAGAAGATAAAGAAAAGGGATTGAAGTTTCCAGAAATAAAGAATAACATAAAGAATTATTAACATATGATGATGAAGAAAACTAGCTAGCTGTACTATCTGGTATATGCACAAAAGTAATACAAGATTAAGGTGCAAGAGTAGATAGGCACCATCCTGAAAAGTGTCATAAATGCCTCAGTGCTATGTTTGGATGCACTTCTTCTTTCCATAAGACAGGGCCGAGGGTACCCACAGGATCGCACTAGAACACTTGATTCTAGTTCCCCTGGAGGTTAAATTTGGGCTAAGGGAAAGAGGCCTCCCTCTCTATCATCATACAAAAATTAATTTGAGATACAACACAGACCTAAATATTAAAGTTAAAACTGTAAAACTTCTAAAATAAGAAACTGTAGGTATCTCTTCATGACCTTGAGGGAAGTAATTTTTTTTAGACAAGGTACAAAAAAAACTAACCATAAAAATACCTGGCAATTAAACCTCATCACAAGTAAAAAGTTCTGCTAATCAAAAGTCACCATTTAAAAAAATGAAAAGCAAAAAAGTGCAAAAAATATTTGCAATACACTTTTCTGACAGTTGAAATTTACCCAAACTAGGTAAACAACTTTCATAATTAGATTAAAAAGACAACAATAAAATTCAGATTAAAAGAAAGCCTTGGACTCAATATTTCACAAAATAAAATACATGAATGACCAATTAGTAGTATGAAGTTACTGTGGTCATGAGGAAATTAAAGTCAGAATCCACAGAGAGACAATACTGCATGCCTTTTAGGATGTTTAAAGTTAGAAAAACTGACAACACCAAAATTTGGGAAGGATGTGTAGAAACTGAAACTTTTATCTACACCTGGTGGGGTGTAGAATGGTGCAACTACTTTGGAATATAATGCAGCTGCCTTGAATAAAGTAGAAAACACATCTATCCTGTGATTCAGCCATCATATTCCTAAATACTTGCCCATGACAAATAAAAACATAGGTACATAAGAGAGATATCCAAAAATGTTTCTTGCATCTATATTCATAACAACCCCAAACTGGAAATAACCCAAAAAGACAAAGTATAAGCAAACTGTGTTATATATAATGGAAAGCTTCTCAGCATAAAAAAGAATGAACTACTGAAGTTGTTACCAAATATACTGGTCTTCAGACCACTTTCTACTCTTAAAAACATTGCAGAGCCAAAAAAGAGACTTTTAAATGTGGCTTATAGCTCTCAATATTTACCGTACTACCAACTGAGAAATTTAAAAAGGTGTATTCACTATTCACTTTAAAATAACAATAATAATCTTATTACATGTTAACATAAATGTCTATGAAAATAATATTTTTAAAACAAAACATTTAGTGAGAACAGTGATACTGTTTTACTTTTTGGATCTTCAGTGTCTGGCTTAAGAAAAGGTAACCAGATTACCTTATCAATTCTTCATTCAATATTATGCAATACCAGTACTTCATTTATCCTTGGGAGAATTATACTCTACTCCCATGAGAGGATAATAGTGAAAAAGGCAAATGGCACCTTTTTTAATCATTATAAAAATATTTTTTACTTCACAGACCCTCTTGAAAGGGTCTTAAGGCGCCCTGATGACTCATTTTGGGAATCACTAAACTACTGGTACATAAAACAACAGGATGAGTTTCAAACACATAATGAGCCAAAGAAACCAGACAGAAAAGCTACAGACTGTGTTACTCCACTTGTATATGGTTTCAGGCTAGGCAGAATAATTTATAGTGACAAAAATCAGAACGGTGGTAGCCTATGTAAAGTGAGGGTTGACTGAGAGAAAAAATAAGGAATTTGATGGAAATATTCTATATCTTTATTAGAGTGGGGTTGCATCAATACAAACATTGAGTCTCTGTATTGGTGAAAACACACAGAATTACCCTCTTGAATCTGCATACTTCACTCTACATTTGTATTAATTTAAAAAAATCAAGAGAAAGCCAAATACTGGACTATAGTAGAACATAAATGTGATTGAAATTGAACATCTTCTAAGGTCTCTTATGTTGTTGTTTAGTTGCTAAGTCATGTCCACCTCTTTGCAGCCCCATGGACTATAGCCTGGTCAGGCTCCACTGTCCATGGGATTTCCCAGGCAAGAATACTGGAGTGGGTTGCCATTTCCTTTTCCAAGGATCTTGCCAACTCAGGGATCAATCCCTGTGTCCTGCATTGGCAGGTGGATTGTTTACCACTGAGCCACCAAGGAAACCCATAGTCTCTTAGAAGGAAGGTAAAACTATTTGACTAATCTCATAACTAAAGGAGGGTACAGATACTAATCTTATAAAGTTTAAGTGAAATATGTATGCTAAAATTTCTACAGGAAGCATTAAAAGAACAGAAACAGAGAGTGTAGTTTCTGAAATAGTAGACAGTGGAAGAATGCATGAGGCAGTACGTTTGCAGGATTGTAACATTTCAATATATTCAAAATAAGCAAGACAGGGGGATGACAGAGGGAAGAAGAAAGATAAAACTGGACAAATAGAAAATACAGAATTAAAAGTAGAAATTGCATCACTGTGGCACAATGAAATGAGCTTAGTCCATGTTAATTCCTTAACTGGATGTACAAATTTAGACTGGTCCCTTGATTTCCTTTATAAAGAGTTTAAACAAATGAACCTCTAAGTTCTTTCCTCCAGTTCCCCTCTCCGCCCCCAGAGCTTGATTCAGGACAAGTTCTTACTTAAAAATCTCAATGAAGACTAGTAATAACCATAATTCACATTAAAATATTCACCCTTGTGAGGTTCAAATTGCCTTTGTTTGTTTCTCAGAATGTAAACTCTGAAGCCCTTAGTTGATCTGAGATCCTTTTATGTAGTGAAAGATTTGGCTTGAAAATGCTTTCAATCAAGATCCTCACAGTAACACTCATTTAAGAACCAGATAAATAAATCCTCCACTCCCTCACTCAGTCTCTGATGTGCAACAGATCCCTAGTGCTCTTTCCTAATGTTTGGCTCATTAACAAATTCATCTGATACTTTCCTTGGGAATTTCCCACCTCTGTTGGGTGAACTGGGGCAAACAGCTTATGAGAGAGGCAAACACTGCCTCCCTCTTGAGTGGTGCTGGATGGTGTTAGAGGACAGTGCGGCTCCCTTGAGGACCCCAATCTCTCCTTAATTACTAGTGCTAGCGGAGAGACGGTAAGCCCTCCCGGATGGTAACAGGAAGCTAAATGAGTGCTTCTAGCTGCTCACCTTTCAATGCAAACCGGAGAAAAAGGAGTGGATTCTTCACGGCAACTCAAAGGAGAAAACTTACAAGTGTTTGCTATGAGCATTATGAATTGTTACTGGATTTTTCTTTGGACTTACTTCTCTTTTTCTTTCTTTATTTTTAATTGAAGGATAATCCCTTTACAGTATTGGGTTGGTTTCTGCCAAACATCACCATGAACCAGCCATAGGTATACATATGCTGGAGTATTTTCTTTACTCCAAAGGAAATGCATACACATCAGGGAATCACACCACAGTGTTACATCAAGGGATCAAATCTTTCATTTAACTTTTATGTGTCTTTCTGGGAAAACATGGTTCAGTCTCTCGTGCCTATTTCCCTACAGAAAAGATTTATAACCGGGGTTGCTGGAAGACTTCTTAGGGACCAGCTATTCTCCAGAGAGCACCACAGGGATCACTGGCAACTACCAGGGTGAGTCCCTTCCTCGGGGGTCATCAGATTGGCCTCCAGTAGTATCCATCTTCCAAATTCTACTATATTCTACTGAGTCAGCATATTCTTTTGAGTTTGAAATTAGCACCACTTCAGTATCTTATTGATAAGGGAGGCAGCCATTCTATTCACTCGGATAAGAGTCCTAGTGGGGCTCTACCAGGAGCAGCTGGTCCAGAAAGTTTTTACTCCCAAAAAAGTACTCTCTAAATTACAAAGGTGTAAGTATGATATTATCTTCCATAGCTGAATATCTTGCATTAAGCTATCAGTAAAATACATAACTTAACAGTAGCTATGGGTACTTGGTACTTCTTTTAGTTTCTTTCTTTTTTTTTTTTCTATGCTAGGTGGTTCATTTTATTTGTTCAAGGACTCATCTTGCAAGCTTTAATAGCAAGCATGGGCTTTGATTCTGGGAGCCTAGATTCACAGACTTAGGAAGACAAAAGTGAACTGTGCTCCATGTACATGGATGCAAACTAAAGGCTTGTGGTTAATCAAACTGTAGTTTTTAAGTTTCTACAGCCTCACAGCCAGAAGTCACAGGTCCTTTAGGTCCTTTTGGATGCCCCAGAGGGTATCTGCACTCTTCTTAAGTTGGGCAACCTCTTCATCCTTCAGCTTCTGGTTGATAACACTGGTTAACCCTCGAGCATTCAGGATACATGGAAGACTCAGGAAGACTTCATTCTCAATGCCATACATGCCCTTCACCATTGTTGACACTGGGTGAATCCTGGATAGATTTTTCAACATGGATTCAATAAGATCAGCCACACTTAATCCAATAGCCCAGTTGGTATATCCCTTTAGCTTGATGACTTCATAGGCACTCTCAACCACCATCTTATGCACTTCCTTCCAATTTTCACTATCACTGTCTGTTCCCATTTCTGGATTCAGTTCCTGGAGAGAAACGCCTGCCACATTCACTCCACTCCACACAGCCACGCTTGAGTTGCCATGTTCTCCCAAAATCCATCCGTGGCAGCTGCTGGGATGAATGCCAAGTTTTTCAGCCATAAAATAGCGAAATCTAGCAGAATCCAGATTACATCCACTCCCAATCACACAGTGCTTGGGTAATCCACTTAGTTTCCAGGTAACATATGTGAGAATATCCACTGGGTTGGAAACCACAATGATGATGTAGTCAGGACTGTACTTGACGATCTGAGGAATGATGAACTTGAAGACGTTAATGTTCCTTTGCACCAAATTCAGGCGACTCTCCCCCTCTTGCTGGCGAACTCCTGCAGTTAACACCATGATCTTGGAATTGGCAGTGACAGAGTAATCTTTGTCTGCCACAATTTTTGGTGTCTGAAGGAATAAACTCCCATGCTGCAGGTCCATCATTTCTCCTTTGAGTTTATCTTCCAAAACATCCACAAGAGCAAGCTCATCAGTCAGAGACTTTCCCAGAATGCTGATGGCACATGCCATACCAACTTGTCCAACACCCACTACAGTGATCTTATTGTTTGGGATTGTTCCCTCTTCTTCCGCAACTGGTGCAATCAGTTTGTCCTTAAGAGCTGCCATTGTGCCCAGGGGAAAGAAAGTTCTCCAGACAGTGGTGAGGGCTGCATGAAGACGAGGTCAGCCTTCTTTTAGTTTCTTTTATACAATATAGTATATTTACAAACTTTAAAAAAGCCAAATTGTATTAAAACTTTATAACAAAAATATCAACATCAGGGTCACTGACAATTCTGTGGCCAGGAAGTTAATTTGAAGGGAATGTGGGTACTGTTTAGTGAGTGGATGCAGTGTGGCTGCCCCTGAAAAGTCAGTATGGGCAGTGACTGCTCCAGAGAGCAGAGGGCAGTGTTAACAAAAGCTAGGGGACTTTACCGCCATAAGGATGACTGCACTCACCTGCTGGGTAGAAAGGTACAGATGGAAGAGCAGAGGATGCTGGCAGCCTACAGTCCGTGGAGTCGCAAAGAGCTGGACACTACTGAGAGACTGGCAGACACATGGAAGAAAGGTGGTTTCCAGACACAAGCCAGGCTCTGTTCCCACACCACAGCACCTCAAAGCTGCTCAGCCATGGCCGCCTGGCTTCTCAGGTTCACCCCTATATGGCTAGCAAGTTTGGGGGCTCACTCCCAGGTAGCTCAGTGGTAAAGAATCTGTCTGCCAATGCAAGAGACACAGGAAATACGGATTTGATCCCTGGGTATGGAAGATCCCCTGGAGGAGGAAATGGCAACCCACTCCAGTATTCCTGCCTGAGAATCTCATGGATGGAGGAGCCTGGCAGGTTACAGTCCAAAGTGTCACAAAGAATTGGACACAACTGAGCATGCATGCACAGACTAAACCCAACTTCTTACTCAATCATACATTCAGGAGTACATCAAAAAGGGTTTGTTTTTTTTTCTTTTTGCAAGCCTTAGGGGGTCTCTCACATCCACACATGACTACTGGAAAAACCATTGCTTTGACCAGAAGGACCTTTGTTGGCAAAGTAATGTCTCTGTTTTTTAACATGCTATCTAGGTTGGTCATAGCTTTTCTTCCAAGGAATAAGCATCTTTTAATTTCATGGCTGCAGTCACCATCTGCAGTGATTTTGGAGCCCAAGAAAATAAATTCTCTCACTGTTTCCACTGTTTCCCCATTCTATTTGCCATGAAGTGATGGGACTAGATGCCATGATCTTTGTTTTCTGAATGTTGAGTTTTAAGCCAACTTTTTCACTCTCCTCTTTCTCTTTCATCAATAGGCTCTTTAGTTCTTCTTCACTTTCTGCCATAAGGGTTGTGTCATCTGCATATCTGAGGTTATTGATATTTCTCCCAGCAATCTTGATTCCAGCTTGTACTTCATCCAGCCTGGCATTTTGCATGATGTACTTTGCATGTAAGTTAAATAAGCAGGGTGACAATACACAGCCTAGTCAAAGCTAGATTTTTCTAGTCTAGTCAAAGCTATGGTTTTTCCAGTAGTCATGTATGGATGTGAGAGTTGGACTATAAAGAAAGCTGAGTGCTGAAGAATTGATGATTTTGAACTGTGGTGTCAGAGGAGACTCGAGAGTCCCTTGGACTGTAAGGAGATCCAACCAATCGAACCTAAAGGAAATCAATCCTGAATATTCATTGGAAGGACTGAAGCTGAAGCTGAAACTCCAATACTTTGGCTACCTGATGCGAAGAAGTGACTCATTGGAAAAGACCCTGATGCTGGGAAAGATTGAAGGCAGGAGGAGAAGGGAATGACAGAGAATGAGATGGTTGGATGACATCACCGACTTGATGGACATGAGCTTGAGTAAGCTGCAGAGTTGGTGATGGACAAGGAAGCCTGGAGTGCTGCAGTCCATGGGGTCACACAGAGTCAGATACGACTGAGCGACTGAACTGAACTGATGGGGCTCTGCTTTGCATTGTATATTACCTCATCAAATGAGCACCATTCCATGAGAGAAGGATACTTCAACATTTTGCCAAATACATTTTAGTTGGAATGATATTACTGACAGAAGCAAAGCATTCTCTCTTTTCTGGGAAGTCCTTGCCTCCCTTCATTGGAAATTTCACTCTATCACACAAATTTCCATATTGTTACAAGCCCTGGAAGCACTTAAGGCACAATGAGAAATAGAGCCCTGCCCATATTCCTTCCTTTCTATTCACCTCTTTTTTCACCCATTTACCACCAAGGGTGTTTATCTACCAGCTGAGGAATCATGTGATTCTTAGCATTATAGTGTTGTACAAAACTGCTTAAACCAATGATGGATTTGTCTACCTACCCTCAAACTCACACTGACAGGCTATTGCTTATTCCTGACCACGTTTACGAAGGCAATGAGAAGAAATCTGAACATGACAGCAATTCTCAAGACCCACCGATAACGGCTACATGGGTCTGGCTGATTTTGGTTCCAGTGGGAGTTATTTCTATCAAATCACAAAAAGCGACTGGGAAAGTTCTCCCTGAAGATGTGGATATCTCCGTGCACTGCTTCTGTTCTACATAAAACAGAAATCACCAACCACACCTCAAGGATTATGGTGTTCTCAAATCTCTGAACCCAAAGGTTTCCATGGAAACATATACATCAGAAGGACCAATGGTCAGAAGGAGTGAAAGAACAGGATGTCCTGTCCCTTTCTGACTGTCTTAACACCGGTCATAGTTATAGTCTTCCACATCATGTAGTTAGTCCATGGGGTTTCATGTACAGAGTTGCTTCCAGTAGCAGGAATCCTGACTCTGTAACATGAAGATAACAGCATTCACAATGGAGGACTGCCTTCACTTACCTCCTCAGGGTGTTCAAATTGCTAATACTTATATTTCCTCATTTGCCTCTGATAACAGGGCTAGAAGAAGGTGGGTATTAGACACCCATTGCATTTATAAGAAAGGAAAGAAAGTGTTCAAACAATCTGTCTTAGCTACACAGCTTCTGACAGGAACAACTTGAGTAAATGGAGTCCAGATCTAGACATCGTTCAACTGCACCAATAATTCCATTAAGGTTTTCCAAGCACTGGGTAAAAGCCAGGCATCCTACTGGGTGTTCTCATTAAGGCAAGTTTTCACAGCCCAGAAAGGACTAATGACTCTCTACTCTACAAGACCTCAGAATGCAGAGTACATTTTATTATAACACTTAGCATCTTCTACTCATATAGTTATTTTCCTCTCTTTCTCCTAAGACTCTGAGATTTCCTCAAAATCAGGTTGTTTTTGTTATTGTTCAGTTGCTAAATCATGTCTAACCCTTTGCGACCCCATGGACTGTAGCACTCCAGGCTCCCCTGTCCTTCACTATCTCCCTGAGTTTGCTAAAATTCATGTCCATTGAGTCAGTAATGCCATCCAACCATCTTACCCTCTGTTGCCCTCTTCTCCCCCTGCCCTCAATCTTTCACAGCATCAGGGACTTTTCAAAGGAGTCAGTTCTTTGCATCAGGTGGACAAAGTATTGGAACTTCAGCTTCAGCATCAGTCCTTCCAAAGAATATTCAAGGCTGATTTTCTTTAGGATTGACTCATTTGATCTCCTTGCTATCCAAGGGATTCTCAAGAGTCTTCCCAGCACCACAGTTGGAAGGCATCAATTCTTTGGCACTCAGCCTTCTTTATGATCCAACTCTCATATTTGTACATGACTACTAGGAAAATAATAGCTTTGACTAGATGGACCTTTGTTGGCAATTTGATGTCTCTGCTTTTTAATATGCTGTTGAGATTTGTCATAGCTTTTCTTCCAAGGAGCAAGTGTCTTTTAATTTCATGGCTTGCGGTCACCATCCACAGTGATTTTGGAGGCCAAGAAAATTAAATCTGCCACTGTTTCCATTTTCTCCACATTTGTTTGCTATGAAGTTATGGGACCAGATGCTATGGTCTAAGTTTTCTGAATGTTGAGTTTTAAGCCAGTTTTTTCACTCTCCTCTTTCACCTTCATCAAGAAGCTCTTTAGTTCCTCTTTGCCTTCTGCCATTAGAGTGGTATTATTTGCAAATCTGATGAAGTTGGTGTTTCTCCTGGCAATCTTGATTCCGTAAGTCAAGACTGTGAGCTGTCCAGCCTGGCATTTTGCATGATCTCCTCCAAACAGAAGTTAAATAAGCAGGGTGATAATATGCAGCCCTGACGTACTCCTTTCCCAATTTTGAACCAGTCCATTGTTCCATGTCCAGTCCTAACTGTTGCTTCTTGATCTGCATACAGGTTTCCTAGGAGACAGGTAAGATGGTCTGGTATTCTCACCTCTTCAAGAATTTTCCGCAGGTACCTTGTCTTACTCAACTTTGTATCTTCTGCATTCATCCAAGTGTCTGGAACCCAGGAGACAAGAGGTGTGCAGAATAAATAACAATTATGCTAATAAAATAGACTCAAGGATTAACAGTGCTAAAATAAGGCTTGAACAAAGTTTTATGGGAACAGAAAGGGGAACATGACTAAATCTACCTAGAATCTTGGGAAATCGACACAAGGAAGGTGACTCTAGAGCCAGAATTTCATGAAATAGGAGAGGTAAAGACATTCTAGGTGCAGGAATTTCATATACACGTCCAACACATGTATTAAACATGGTCCTGCCTGGCCTAAGAGGCAGTACAGTGCCCGAAGGGGAGGCACAGGTCAGGACAGAAATGTGATTACAGTAAAGAAACCCATGAACTAAATAAAAATAAATTTAAAGCAACTAACATAAAGTAAGCAAAATTAACAAATTTAAACAAATGAACATGTATTTTAATTTGCACTGATTGCCTTAATCAATTCATTAATTAGAGTTTAAAAAATGTGTCTCGAATTAGTTTCGAAGAATATTTTTTAAGTAAGACTTAACGAGGTGGTGGGGGGGAAAGTCCATACACTGCAAGGCTGAAGCTGATGAGTTAGAAGCAGCGGGCCGCCCTCCCCCAAGCTTCCTCCAGGCTGAGGCCCCGCCCCCGGCGCTGCCTGGGGGGCGTGGCCCGACTTCCGGGTTGGCGTGGCAGCCCCGCACCTGGCACGCATTCCCCGGGCTGCAGCCGCACCTCGGGGGCAGGCCTGCGTCTGAGCTG